GTTTATTTTTCCTTCTAACAGTCAGGACCCTCAGTTGTAGGTCTGTTGGAGTTTGCTGGAGGTCCACTCCAGACCCTGTTTGCCTGGGTATCACTAGTGGAGGCTGCAGAACAGCAAATATTGCAGAACAGCAAATGTTGCTGCCCGATCCTTCCTCTGGAAGCTTCGTCTCAGAGGGGCACCCGGCTGTATGAGGTGTCAGTCAGCCCTTACTGGGAGGTGTCTCCCAGTTGGGCTACTTGGGGATCAGGGTCCCATTTGAGGAGGCAGTCTTACCATTCTTCCATCTCAAACTCTGTGCTAGGAGAACCACTACTCTCTTCAAAGCTGTCAGACAGGGACTTTTAAGTCTGCAGAAGTTTCTGCTGCCTTTTGTTCAGCTATGTCCTATCCCCAGAGGTGGAGTCTATAGAGGCAGGCAGGCCTCCTTGAGCTGGGGTGGGCTCTACCCAGTTTGAGATTCCTGGCCGCTTTGTTTACCTACTCAAGCCTCAACAATGGCAGATGCCCCTCCCCCAGCCTCGCTGCCACCTTGCAGTTCAATCTCAGACTGCTGTGCTAGCAGTGAGTGAGGCTCCTTGGATGTGGGATCCTCTGAGCCAGGCGCAGGATATAATCTCTTGGTGTGTTGTTTGCTAAGACTGTTGGAAAAGCACAGTATTAGGGTGGGAGTGTCCAGATTTTCCAGCTACCGTCTGTCACAGCCTCCCTTGGCTAGGAAAGGGAATTCCCCAACCCCTTGAGCTTCCTAGGTGAGGCAATGCCCCACCCTGCTTTGGCTCACACTTCGTGGACTGCACCCATGGTCCAACCAGTCCCAGTGAGATGAACCTGGTACCTCAGCTGGAAATGCAGAAATGCATTGCTCACACTGGGAGCTTTAGACTGGGGCTGTTCCTACTTGGCCATCTAGGAACCTCTCCTTTGTCATGTGGTTTTTTTATACAGATGCCAACTCCACTCTGTGTTTCTGGAAGTCAAGTCTAACATCTCATCTGGAGCTGGGTGAGCTCCTCAGCCCAGCCTGGACCCAGGCTTGTCTGTGGTCCATGCCACACACCCAGTCCACACACCCAGTCCCCACACCTGAACATAGCCAGGGAAGCCAGAGGGGTTGTTCCCGAATTGTTTCCTCTTACCAGAGGTCTTGTTAATCTTCTCAGAGGTACTTGGTTTTCCCGGGGGGCTCAGCTGTTTCACATCATTTTGAGGGCCAGATGCTTCTGGGACTCCCTTTGAATCATTTCCTTCCTCTGCTGGCTCCTCGGGCATGATCTTTATAATGTGAAGGTCACAGATAAACAGTATCAGTGACATTTCTATAGTGCTTTAGAGCTTACAAAGCGTCTTCACATGCATTACCTTAATTAATGTTCTCAAAAACGCTGGGAGAGTTACACAGGCCTAAATTAGGAGAAACCTGAGAAGGGGAAGGAATGGCCTAAATGAATGGGCTTTCCAGGGATAGAATGCTTATCTTCACATTCTTTTAAGACTGACATTCTTGCAAACAGCAAAAATCACCATGTAATTGAGAGTTTGGTATACAGAAGATTTGGAGAATAGCATTCTAAGAATTCAAAAGGTCTACAAAAGGAAGAGCTTCTATAAAATACAGGAGATCCCATATAAGCTTGTAGACAGCTACTGGGAGAGTAAATGTGAAAACATAGAGAGGGACAAAACACTGCTGGTAAAGATGGTGTGGGGAGATGAATACAGGAAAGAGAGAGGGAAAGAAATGGTTTGCTGAAATTAATCTAGGCAGCAAAGAAAGCAGTACCAGATATGGCATACCACCCCACAGAGGCACCAACATTGAATGTGAAATTAAGTGAGGTGGTACCCATACCAATTCTGGTTGCATTGGGATGTGTCACTGACCAACAATCTTAAGCTACTTTTTTTTTTTTCTTTTTGACACCGAGTCTCGCTCTGTCACCAGGCTGGAGTGCAGTGGCACGATCTTGGCTCACTGCAACATCCGACTCCCACGTTCTGGCGATTATCCTGCCTCAGCCTCCAGAATAGCTGGGACTACAAGCAGTCGCTACCACGTCCCGCTAAGTTTTGTATTTTTAGTAGAGATGAGGTTTCACCATGTTGGGCAGGATGGTCTTGATCTCTTCACCTCGTGATCCACCCGCCTTGTCCTCCCAAAGTGTTGGGATTACAGTAGTGAGCCACCGCACCCAGCCCTTAAGCTACTTTTTATTCAGCTTCCTCACTTATGAAATAGTGAACAATACATGTAAAACAGGCTAAGGGAAAGCCCTCTCTGAGCTTGTAAACACTGTTTAAATGTAGTAATAATAACAATTAATATCTTTCATGATGCTTCTTTGAATTCAGTCTCCACACTGGCAACCCAACTCCCAGATCCCTTTACCCTCTAAACCAGACGTTGAACCAGCACTTATAGGGTCATTCATTCAGGGGCCTACAAGGATCCCCTGGGCTGGGACCGAGGCTTCGCAGATGCCCCAGGGGCAGACAAAGACCTCAAGGAGCTCACAGTAGGGAGGGGCCAATAGTCAAAGCGATTCCTAAGCCATTCGAGTGGCCCCAGTAACAGAGCAGAGATCAGCTGGTCCTTCCTGTTGCGAGAGTGGGTGTCTCAATGGAAGCACCAGCAGGCTTTATGGGGTAAAGCCCTAATGAGCAACATCTGAACTTCATAAACAAATGCAAACGTGAATGAGCTTTAAATGGCTTGGAGCTCTGGATTAGAGTACCACTGCCACTGTGCCTCAGAAACATTCTTTAACATCTCTGTACTCCGATAGCCTCATTTTATTATTATGTTGCTGATAACTAGGATCTATAACATGAACTATGATTCTTTACTTCCATTGCATGGACCAGCAATCTGGAGCTGAGAGGACTTAGAAGATTTGCGCCAAGTCACATGGCTTTTATATGGATGAAAACTGAAGTGTGTGACTCGTTATTATTTGGAGATAATAATAGAAACGTCATAGAGGTCTTCTTAAGGATTAAATAAATGAATCCATGTGAACTGCTTAAAATAGTATCTGGCATCACTATGAAAACAAAAGAAGTATTAAGAATCACAACTCTTAGTATCATCAAGCCATCGATGCTACATCAGTTGTTGTGATAGACATGGGGAGAAGGAGGCAGTGAGGGCATTTTTGATATTCTCCCACTCTTACCAGTGTTCGCATCCGTGGAGGGACAAAGGTTCTCTGGTCCTTTAGATTTGAGAGATACTCACCTTTGGGAAGATTCCCTGGAGCATGCTGGAAGTCATCTGAGGATGTTCAACTGAAAGAGAATACATCAGCATTTTTCTTTGTTGGTAAAGATTTCCAAACTCTAGAGAGACTTCTGTCACATGAGGGCATTCTGCAGCAGAGGGTTATGAGTCCACTCACTGTTGAGGAGTTATTTGAGATTTGCTTCTGAATTATGTTCAGTAATGGTTGGTGCATTTATCTGTGGCATCAATTCAGAATTTTCCATCTCATGGTTTATCAAATGGGGCTTAAACCCCGTCACAGTCTCATCTTATTTCATTACATATCTTTTACCTTTTCCCAAATAATTAAATTGAATGGTTAGGAATCTGAACCGTATCCACTCAAGATGCGCAACAACTAAAAATCACTGTACACTTCAAATGGGTGAATCTTATGGTATGTCAATTAAGCTGTTAAATGTGTGATGAACCCATGGATGATTTATTCCAGTGTCTCTGAAATATTTTCAGTATAAAGACACTCCTTTAATGTCAAAAACTTGGCAGATACTCAAGCACTGAATTTTCAGATCTCTTATAGTGATTGTGGGAGATGGTAGAATCTGGCCTGTTTGTTGGGGAGTAATAGGTCTATTGGAGACAGTTTGGACTTTCTAACCTTGTCTTATAATTGTTTTGTTAGAGCAGAAGAGCAAGTAAACACATATGTCCCCTTTATATTCCTGAAATGCACAAAGATCTCTATGCAAGAACTTGTCTTTTTTCACCCTATGTTATCTCTGCTCACTGACAAGTGGGAAAGCTCTCTGTGTGTTGGATGAGGGATCACTCTTTCAAACTCACTTCTGAGCTCATCAGGGAGAATCGGGGTTGTTTGGGAATGAGAAGACTTTGGTTTTGATAAAATACAGAAAAACAGCGATATTTATTACATAGTGTGTTCATCACTCTCACTCCTAAGAAACTTATCCAATACCTACATACTGTTAATGAAACAAACTCTGGAAGTTTTTGGCAGATTCACAGTTTTAATAGTTTCTTTCTTTCTTTTTTTTTTTTTTTTTTACTTGTAACATTTTCTTAACTGTCTTTTGATTCAATAACAGTGCTTAGGAAAAGCAACATGTCGTTTAAAAAAGAAATATTTCAAACACACAGAAAATTATGGGGAATAATACTGAGTCCAGTCAGATCTCAACATTACCCCACAGCTATGTTATGTCTTATTTATTTATTCAGAATATTAGAAATACTACAAACAGGCTGGGCATGGTAGCTCACACTTATAATCCCACCACTTTGGGAGGCTGAGGCAGGTGAATCACCTGAGGTCAGGAAGTTTGAGACCAGCCTGGCCAACATGGTGAAACCCCGTCTCTACCAAAAATACAAAAATTAGCTGGGTGTGGGGGCGGGTGCCTGTAACCCAAGCTACTCAGGAGACTGAGGCAGGAGAGTCACTTGAACCCAGGAGATGAAAGTTGCAGTGAGCTGAGATTGCCTTATTGCACTCCAGCCTGGGTGACAAGAGTGAAACTCCATCTCAAAAACAAAAACAAACAAAACACACTATCAACAAGTCATGGCTGAAGTTGTCTGTGCAGCACTCACCAAACCCTGCCCTCCCTCCTCCACTTACAGCCAGTCACCTTAATTTGATTACTTTTTATTCACATTCATGTTTGTATATATTTACCATTTACTTATCCATAAAAAAATATATTCTTGTTTTGCATGTTTTAAAATTTTATATGAATGGCCTCCGTAGTTAACTTTTTGCATGCAATTTTTTTTTTTTTCACTCAGCCCTGATGTGTATGAGGGAACAAATGCCTGAGGATCTTTCCCAGGTAGCTGAACTGAAAAGCAGTTGGGCTTCAGGAGACCCTTTCCAGCCCCTTTCCATCTACTCACCCTGATTCCCATGGTTAGGGTCATTATCAGAATCATTCCCCTGGAAGTCTGTGGCCCGCTTATTACGCATGAAAGGTGGGAGGGTGACCTTGAAACCTAGAAAGAAGCAAAATGTTTATTCCTTAAGAGACAAGCTTAGGACTGGCATAGTGGCTCATGTCTGTAGTACCAGCACTTAGGGAGGCTCAGGCTGGAGGATTGGTTGAGGCCAGGCGTTTGAGGCTGCAATGAGCTATGATTGCACTACTGCACTCTAGGCTGGGTGACAGAGTGAGACTCAGACTCAAAAAAA